TTAGTTCTAGGCCATGTGCTCCCTTTTCCTTGCCATCTTTTGTTCGTTCTTAGCCGCAAGTAAAATACTGAATGCATCAAGTCATTATGGGAGTGCACCTATATGACGATCTGGTTTGCTGCCTTTTATATCCGTCCCCACCCATAGATGCACGAGTAACATCAGGCCAATATAGGAGAGAATTTCATAAACTTCTTGTTGTCTGATTAATGCATGTATATTTGTGTATTTGTCGTAGAGTTGGGATGTTACCCGCAAGGGCTTAGTTCTAGAACATTTGCTCCCTTTCCCTTTCTGATTTGTGTTCATTCTTCAGACGACAAATATGGTAGTGCTTCTTAAAGAAAAATTAGTTTTGCCTCGTTTTATATATCTTCTCCTGTAGATGCATGAGTGAACACCATTAAATGAAAACCAGCATTCTGTTATCATGTCTAATATGGTTTTGCATATGCCTCGCAGATTAACGGATCACTTGCAAGGAAGGCCATTCGAGAATTGATGGCGAAAGGGTTGATTCGGTTGGTGTCTTCTCATTCAAGCCAGCAGATTTACACTAGGGCAACAAACACCTAGACGTTCTGTTATATTTTTGTTTATTTAGTTCTCTGTGTCATTTCCATTTCCTTAGCTTGACGGCTATGAATTAATTTCTTTTTACCAAAGAACACTCTTAAGTGGGATCTTTCTATAATGAGTGAGCTACAGTTTCTTTTTTATTATGGTTTAATGGATTTTTTCCATATTTTTTTTGCTTTGTTTTAGCCACTAGGATTCCTAAATTTATCCTCTAAATGAGATTTTGGCATATGGTTTTGCCTGAAAAAGAAGTTGCATTTCCATCCAAGTACTGCATTTGCAGTAAAATCTCTTATGTGTGTTGCTTATGTATTATCCATTTGATGTCAATATTCATCAAAATAATCAATAGAGGTTTTAGTAATGGACCAAGTCCTAGTTTATTTTATAGGATAAACTATGTATTTAGTCACTCTTCTGTTATCGTAGTTTTGTTTTAATCATCCAAATTTCTTTTTAAATTGCATTTAAACTTATGTTTTATTTGTTTTGGTCATCTATCTTTAAAAAGTTAAAGATGATATTAGTTTGTCATAATAAGATAATATCATATCATTAGTAGTTATATTTATTTTTAAATAGTGGGTTATCAAAATGAATAAAAAATGTGATTATAGATATGATTTTTTTTTTAAAAAAAATTATTGGGTGACTAAAACATAATCACAAATAATTGGAAGATTAATTACATAGTTTATATTAGAGTAAATTATGTGTTTAGTATCTAAAATATTAGTTTTGGTCTGTTTTAGTACCTAAACTTTTAATTTTTTTAAAATTATACATAAAGTTTAGTTTTTGTTTTATTTTAGTTCTTTGTTTAAAATTTAACGTTAAATGTTGAAAAGATTAAAAGTTTAGGTACTAAAACCGATCAAAACTAATAGTTTAGGTACTAAATGAGTTAACTTTTTAACAGCGGATACTAAAATGAAACAAAAAAATAAATGTTAGGCATGGTTTTGAAAAACTAAAAGTTCAGGCACTAAAACATATCAAAACTGGTAGTTTAGGTACTAATTATGTTGTTTATCCTTTACCTTATTTTATAATACTTCTGAATGTCAACGCATTAGACTCCACGTGGTAGTTCAACCACGCGTGGCCTTGTTTACATAGTACCAAGTATCCACATGCATGAAAACGAAACTAAGAGAAACATCTAGACGCAAGAAAGGGCATGAACATAAACAACAAACGTATGGAAGATACAAGGAGGGCAGATTTGCGACAACTAGAAGATGTAATGAAGGAAGCAGAAGAGACAACGAGGGCAGATAAGTTGTGCCGGTCATCGACCGATCTCATCTTCAGGTCATAGGTTTAGTAACGCAGGTATATTTTAAGGCATAGTGAAAAAACTGATTTTGTTATTACTGTATGATAGAATACGGTTATTCAACGGTTGTTTCGATCCGATGGACTCACTTGGTTCGACAGTATTGCAGAAAAACCGCCTGATTTTGTTATCACTTGATCCGATGGACTCAACGGTTGTTTCGATCCGATGGACTCACTTTCGGTAGGATAAAACCCAAACATTTCTTTACAATGCATCATTTGAGTTTTCCGTATCCTGTTTTTAGTTTTGTCGTATTCGTATTCAGGTTCAAAAACGAGTTTGTGTAAGTCGTGTGTATGGTGACAAGAGCGTAGCAGAGGCTCTCCGTATCCTGTTCAAGAGTCGAATAGGCGTCATTGTGGTCGTCGAGAGACAAACGCAAAGGCTTATCGGTAGTGTCCGAAACAGCGATGTGTACCTTCTAATGGAGAACGATAAGATCTTCCATGATCGAAAGTGAGAAACGTTTTCTTCCGATGCAACATGAACTGCCGCCCATTGCCATGTCATAACACTTAATAGACTTTATACTGTGTTACAGGACTATGACCGTGGAGGAATTCATTCATAGGGAGACTACCAACCCGGACCACGATCCTACCATCGACCGAGACACAGGGGCTCCTTTATCTGCAGGGATGCTTCGGCTATTAAACGAGTACCTCCCGAGAATGGACACGCCGGTCACTAACAAGAAAACCAACACACTCAAACAAGCGATGAAGAATGTCGCTGGAACCAAAAGCGATTTCAGTTTTCAGGTCGACGGTTCAGAGCGTCCACAAGGCGTTCTCACGTTGAGAGACATTATCCTTCAGTTTGCACCGCCGTCTATGAACTCGAACATCGACGGATGAGGCTTCTTCGAATTGGCTCTTGAACAGACTAGTTGTCGGATCGAAGGTGGAACCCTTGTTTGCGATCCCTAATGCATTTATTTCTCTACTTAATCCACGAGCTCAACATCAGGATTGAAGTTTACAGTTTGTCATTGCAATAGTAGTCGCATTATTGCTGGAATTAGCCCTCACGAATATAACCTACTTAGCTGTCAATGTGAATTAAAACTGTTATTATATTGTACTATATCTTTTGGGCACGAGATCTGAATTTGACATCTGAATTCGACGGGTTCGATCAATTGGATTCAAATCGCGGTCTCTGTCGTATTTTCGGTCATGTCCCATTTACCGTAATTGTGGCCATAGCGGGTGCTATTGCGGATATAGCAAGTATATCGGAAGACAACGCTATTGCTATTTCGCGGGCACTATTGCGGGATCGGACCGTTATTTAAAATCCTGGTCCTGTCCTCGACCCAAAAACGTATATCTAAAACTCGACCCGCCTAATTTTTTTTTAGTTTTTTTCTACCTGGACTCGTCCTGAATTTTAGACTAAAACTCCGACTCAACCCAAATATATTAATTTTAAAATAATTAAAATAATATATATTTATAATTATTTATTATATTTTAAATGGTTAAATAAATATATTTTATAATATTTTTTATATTTTAATCATTAAAAAATATATTTTAATAATATAAAAATAAAAATTCTTAAAATATTAAATATATATATATATATATCTAAAACCCGACTCCGCCTCAAAAGATTTTAGGTTTTTTTCTATCCGGACTTGTCCCAAATTTTAGATTAAAACTCCGACTCGACCTGAATATATTAATTTTTAAATAATTAAAATAATATATTTATAATATTTTAAATGGTTAAATCAATATATTTTATAATAATTTTTATATTTAATAATTAAAATTTAATAAAATAAAAATAAACATACCTAAAATATTATATATATAAATTAATATGATCCGATCATGTCGGTGATTTTTCACTTAGAACCCGGACCCGACCCACTCCAAAATTTTATATCATATAACAAATCCCGTTTCGAGACTCAATTTTTTTTAAAAAAATCCGCTCCTATAGCGTCGAGTCGAGACCCGTCAGGTTCGAATATTTTGACTATCCCTATTCGAGTCGAATAAAGTTATCTCTAAATTTGTGTTAGCTTCAAACGGAGATTATATTTTTTTTGGGCGGGTCGACAAAAATTTGATCCAATCGACTCATGTTCATCCTTAAATATATCATCACGATCAAATTTAATAGCTTGAAAAATAATGGTACGATTTTTTTAATAAAAAAAGTACATATGAATGAACAAAACATAAATGCTAGAATAAATCGATAACCAAAGATAATTTATCTTTAAAATAAATATAATAGTTAAATGAGTAATAATATTAGAAGGGTGACTAATATTTGTACACCATTAACTGCTTCGTGGCTATTTTTTATTTCATCTCAACCAACGATCTTATATCATAAATAATTATAGGGTTAAGCATGAATGCATTCAATTCGTACTTGTCTTCGGTTTCAACTCGTTCATACACCGTAATGGCTAATCAAACTTAAGTACATGAAATTTTCAAATAATTTAGTGAATCGGGCTATCCTTTTGTGATTTTCTATAGACTACCGTATAGAACATCGATAAGAAATAAAAGAGCGATAATGTAACTGTCTTGTGTGACCAAAAAGTGTCGCATTAACCGATTTAACATAAAATCGTATTTCATTGCCTCCGATAATGATCATTAACAATTAGTGACCAATTTATTATAAATTGATAACGTTCATCATCAAATCATTACTCTTAAAACATCGATAGAGGAAAAATAAAATTTAGAGATAAATAATATATTTTGTACTTAAACTATCAATTTTGATCTGTTTTAGTACTTAGATTTTTAGTTTTTTTAAAATCATACATAACATTTAGTTTTTGTTTTAATTTAGTACCCACCTTTAAAAATTTAACGCGTTTTTTTCAAAATTTAACGTTAAATATTGAACAGGGTACTAAAGTGAAATAAAAACTAAACTTTAAGTATGATTTTAAAAAAATTAAAAGTTTATATACAAAAACGGACTAAAATTAATAGTTTAAGTACTAAACTCATAATTTACTCTAAAATTTAATCAAAGACCTTTACCCATTTAACAATACAAGGCCAACATAACTATACTTATCTACAGTAAGCCCCAAAAAAAAGGCAAACTCTAAATTTCTCCCGTTTTGGCGGCTCCGTTATTTTCGACGGCCGTGTCACCGTCGGCAAAACCAAAAAAACGCGGTAAAAAAAGGGAAATATCTCCGAATAGATCTCCTAGTTTATCGGCTCTTTGCTTCATTTTTGTCACAAAACACCCCAAAGAACGTTTCATAATTTCTCATAGAATCCAAAGCTTAGTCCTTTTGAGGTAACCCTTTTCTCAGTTCACTATTTTCTTTTTATAGTTCAAAGCTTCTTCTTCTTTTCAGTTTTATGTTCATTGTTCATAAAGATCTCAACTTGTTTTTTATTCAACGATTCTATGCTATAAAATATAGGGCTTTGTTGTTTTCTGGATCTGGGTTTTTGAAGTTTAGGTGTCTACTTTTAAACACACTGGGTTCTGTTGTTTGGATGGTGAGAAAGTTTAGGGAAAGTTTTTGGGATCTCATGTTTTCTAGGAAACTCTGGGTTTCTGGTGATGTGTGATTGGTTTTTTGTTGCATTTTAGTTTATGGGTTTTTTTTGTAGCAGATTCTGGATTTTGATGATGAGATTTTTATACGATTTCATGGTGAACAAACGTAGCATTAGGGTTTTTCTCTGGATTGGATTCATTGATTGAAAATTACTATCTAGTTCATACGTTGTGATGCTTATATCTGATGATTTACACAACTAGAAGTGCTTAACAGTGATGTTTTTGAGAACTTTTAGTGAATCCTTGTGCCTAAGTTGATTGGATTCTTCTTTTATAACATTTGAAGCTGATACCGAATGGAGGGAATTGGAGGAGATGGAGCATCGGTGACATCGCCGTTACCTCAATGGGGTCACGAGGTGTGGAGGATGTATCAGTATTATCTGGATAAGTCAACTCCGCATTCGACTTATAGGTGGATTGGAACCCTTGTTGTGGTAGCTATCTACTGTTTGCGGGTCTATTATGTTCAGGGGTTTTACATCGTCTCGTATGGTCTGGGGATCTACCTGCTGAATTTGCTAATCAGGTTTTTGTCTCCGCTCATTGATCCTGAACTCGAAGGCTCCGATGGACCTGTGTTGCCGACGAAAGGCTCAGATGAATTCAAGCCGTTTATTCGTAGGCTACCCGAGTTTAAATTCTGGTAATCGAAAAACTATTGTCTTTCACGTCCCACCTGTAATGAAGCTGTAATTGCTCCTTTGTATGGTCTGTGCCTGAGGCAACATTGTACTCGAGGTTTGTTGATCTATTTAGGCCAACTCGAAAGCACTGTCTGATTTTCGAGATAGATGGATCGTGGAAACATACTCTTTATTGTTTACTGAAAAGAGAAGATATGTAGGAACATGTGCTTCCACGTTCGGGTTTCGTCGGGTAGAGAAAGTAGTAAACTTCATGTGGTTGTCTATCATATTTCGTCATCTTTGATGTTCGTTGTTGAACTGATGCTAAATGAATGCGTATTAATGTATGAATAGAATTCTTAATTTTCATGATTTTTTCCAGGTACACCATGACAAAGGCTTTTTGCATAGCATTTCTCATGACTTTCTTCTCCGTGTTTGATGTTCCTGTCTTTTGGCCTATATTGCTATGTTATTGGGTCGTTCTCTTCGTTCTTACGATGAGGCGTCAGATCGGACACATGATCAAGTACAAGTATATCCCGTTCAACATCGGAAAGCAGGTCAGCTCGTGAACCGAAGAATTACTTCCACTCCTATATTTGCAAATCTATCAATGATAACCTTTTGCTTTTAGTAGAAACAGGGAAGTCTAATATCTGTCCTTGTTTACGTGACAGAAGTATACGGGTAAGAAAGCTTCTGCGAGTAGCAGTGGCTACCGTGGCGATTGAGGGAAGTAGCATTCGGACGACGATTCGTTATAGTAGATTTTCGCCTTCGGAGAAGATGCATTTATGTTGTTTATGGATTTTGTTTTAACATGCAGAAGACACTGACTTCCCAGAACTAAAACTTTTTTGTTTATATGCATTGCCAAGATTTGATCAAAGTTTCTGAGATTATTGGCCAGTAAATGTATACAACAAACTATTGTTTCTCTCCTTTGCCCTTATATATGAGTAGCTTGTTGTTAGTGACAGTTTACTCATGGAATATGTATTTTTTTTAAACATCCAATTAGGTACATGTATTTTGTCAAAATGTCAAATGCGGTACTTGTTAGTTGATTTAGCACCAATGGTGTTTAATAATACATGGAGTGAGAGATCATATATTTTAACATTTTACATGTGTAGGTAGCAACACGTCTCAGATATTTTACGAGTGCGGATATCACATTGAGCATCCTATCAAAGTATGTACATATATTATAGGATAAAGTACATAAATGGTCTTTCGACTATAGGGTATTAGTCGGTATTATTTTATTAAGTCTTTCAATTATTAAAAATTATAAAATAATCATTCGATTACATATGCCATGTAGCATAAGAAGAAAAGAGAAAAGAAGCTTCTTGCAAAATGACGAGCAAAGGTTTATTGCTTATTAAGAAAACTCTGATCCCTATATTTATGTCTTGGTGCACGTTACCATGCAACAAATCATGAATGGAACGAATTTTGTGATTGTACCATTGATTATGTATCTACAATATAGTGATTAAATGATATCTGGTAATCTTTTTGAAAGAATCACTCTTTCATCTTATAGGGGTGATGGATATTTATGGCGTTCCACTTTGTTGTAGGATGTTTTCATGCACACTCGTTTATTTGATGATTTGTTACGTTGTTGTTTTGCAGGAAAAATCACGGAAGGCAACTGGAATGCAAGTAGATGCCCTGGAAGAGGGTTACGTTGATCATGAGTTGTTCTCTCTTACTTCCATTAAGGTTTGTTTTACCAAGGCTGCAAACTGGATAACTCCAATAATGTTTGTAACTAGTAAAAATACAATTTATTACTGCAAGTATAAAAGACGACTAAACTGACACTCATCACAAGGCTGCAGTTATGTCATTCGAACCAGGGGTATAGTTGACGTTTAACCTTAATGATTATTAATCTACTGTTTCTGAACAAAGGCAGGTTTTATTCTTAGCATCGTTTCCATTTACTTATACTTTGTTAACTGAAACAATGCTCTGGCATGCGTTACTGTGCAATACTAAACTGTTGCCTACAGTTGTGGTTCTTTGGTATTTCCTGAAAAGTTACTTGGGTTGTCTTAAGCTTTCTACTTTGGTAGAAACATTCATTGATGTCAGTCAATTACTATCTCTAGGGTAAGAAAGATCTTGTGGCAGCTGATTCCACCGAGTATGATGATGGCAATGTTGAGCTGAGGGGTAGCGAAGATGAACAAAACCGAGAAGAAAGCACTGAATATGAGTCATCCAGTGATATTGATTCTGATGAAGAACGCAGAAGGTTAGTATCTGCTTCTCACGACTGATATGTGTGTGTATATAATTTCTAACATTCTCTGTTTATTAACCTTGTAGATAATGACGAAGGTTGTTTATAAATGTCGAATATTGTTTATTGAATTTCCGTTCATGGCTGTTCAGGGTGGTGATGGTGATATTATTCTTTCTGATCATGATTCGGATATGGAAGAGGCTGATCCTGAAGCAAATCCTCTTACTAGATGACAGGGAAGGACCAACTCAGGAGGAGATTACAAACAGGTGGTTCAGTCGGGATATTTTTGCTGAAGCCGTAGAGCAAGGGGATTTAGGGAAATACAACAGCGACGATGAAATGGAGACCGATAATAAAGAGGAAAGGCCAGCAATTCCAGAGAGGTCCAAAGTAAAGAAAAAACAGGATGAAAAACTCGATATTCCGAACAAGGCCAAGGAAAATAAAGAAAACAATGCTGCAGACCCCAAAAGCACCAAACTCCAGGCTTCCAAGGCAGAGGATGATTTTGAGATTGTCCCAGCTCCAGCTACCGATTCCAGTGATGACTCATCCTCAGATGACTCGGAAGATGATGACGTTGAGACGAAAGCTGAGATATCAGCTTGTGCTAAGAAGACGCTCAGGAAAAAGCAAAGGGATCAAACTCTCGACGATGCGTGTAATAATTATATGTTTCATGATGATGGCTTACCCAAGTGGTTCTTAGATGAAGAAAAGAGGCATTGTCAACCAATTAAGCCTGTTACAAAGGAAGAAATTGCTGCAATGCCAGCACAATTCAAAGAGATCAATGCTCGGTCGGCTAAGCAATTTGCAGAGGCAAAGGCTCGAAAGAAGTGGATTGCAATGAAAAAGCTAGACAAGGTCCGCCAGAAAACAAACATCATATTAGACCAAGCCGACATCTCCGAGCGGTCAAAGTGGAAGCAAATTGAACAACTTTACAAGAAGACTACGCCCCAAAAGCCCCAGAAGGAATACGTGGTCTCGAAGAAAGGGGTTCAAGTTAGGGCCGGGAAGGGTAAAGTCTTTGTTGATCGTCAGATGAAAAATGATGCCAGGGCTCAGGGAACTGGTATACTAGGAAAAGGCGGTTCGAAGAAGGGAAAGAACGGGAAAGCGCGGAAAGGTAAAGGAGCGCGCAAGCATGACTGGAGCAACTTAAAGTTTTGAAAGATACAACTTTGGATGAAATTAAACAATTGATTGATTGATTATGGACATAGACATGGACAATAATAATACAGTTAAGACTGAAATTGAACATATCACGATATATGTAGTGGGGTGTGAATGATCGAAATAGAATTTGTCAATCCTACATAATTGAAAAAATATCACAGATCATTTGATTGAGTGAGACTAAAAATGTATGGTCACACTCGAATGTGTTGATATGAGATATGACAAATTATTCGTTTATTATAGTCTACTCTAGATATCAAGAAATAATAGATGGGTTATATAAGTGTGACTATTCCAAGACTTGTGTTTGTTCTAGATATAAAGGACAAAAGGATGTAATACATTAAAATAATTAATCACGAAGATTATATTAAATCATCACTTCCTGTAACTTAAGTGACAATGATATATTGCTAGATGTCACTCCTTGTTTGTAATATTAGAATGACTCTAATAATTATTACTAATGTTACATGAACTTACAGGGTCACACCCCGATGTTAAAAAGAACAATTTATAAATAAGTTACACATGTACAATTTTAATTGTGCTTGTATAAAATGTATAATTAATATTAATATATATTTGATATATATATACGGTTGTAATTTTAATTATACATGGAATGCTAAATTTAATTAAAATAATATAATTAGTGTAATTTTAAATTTTAATTATAAAATGTATAATTAGTGTGATTTTTAAATAATTAAATGCTTAGGTATGATTTGGCCTCTTTTTATTGGTTAAGTTTTTAACATGTAGATACTAAAACGGAATAAAAATTAAATGTAATATATGGTTTTAAAAAAAATTAAAATTTTAAGTATTAAAACGAATCAAAACTAATAGTTTAGATATTAAATACGTAATTCACTCAATTTTTTAAAAACAATAACTTTTCAAATAGTTAATTTTCTTTTATATTTACTGGTTGTCCTCTTCTACCGATGAAATAACTCTTCTCTTTTTGAAAATAAATGTTTATATTTTGCAGTTGTCCTCTTAAATGATAACATCATTCTTTTCTTAAAATTAAGGTAAAGTACACAAATAGTTACCGAATTTTAAGTCGCTTGTATTTTGGTCTTCTAATTTTTAAAACTTGTAATATAATCATCAAATTTTTAGTTCGTTTTCAATAAGATCTCCGTCGTTACCTTCTGTTAGTTTTATTTGATACGACACTTACCTCCCATTAACCCCTCCTCATAAAGTAAAACTTGTTATTCTTATTCTTCTTAACTAAAATCCCTTCACCACGATTTTCTTTTTATCTACCTTTATCGTTGGTGTTGGTGTTTTTTCGATGTTATTTTCGGCGAGTTATTGCTGTGAATGTTTGGAAAATGATGATACCAACGACGGGGAACTTATCCATTGTGAAAGTCTAACATTTGAGTCCCAACGATTCCATAGCACACGCCACCTCTGTCCATACTTCACGGTTATTACTCATCGTGGAAATCAAAATCATAGTCAACTTAAAAACCTGAATGACTTTTTTTAAGGTCTCGACTTCGACGTCTCTATCGTAAACGAAGTCGATGCACTTGAAGATAGCGTAGCTGTAATCGTCTTCAGGCATAACGTGAATCGTCGAGTAATGATCATCGTTGTCTCTATTCATGGAGTGATAGCATGGGCGAACCGATTTAAGAAGTTGAGTGATCCCACAGGTTTTGATGATGATCTTGTTCGGATAAACGAACAAGCTTGATTCCGATAACCCATAAGCGTCGAAGAAATGGTTGTCGATGGCGGAGATGATGGTGCACTGGGTGGCATGCAAGACCTGTTCAAGTGATTCAAAATCAATTAGCCTAAGACCCATTTTGTCCAACGAATCATCACCGAAGAAATGAAGCTTCGAACGCTTCTCAAACCCTGAAACTATCATAGTTAAAACCACAAAACAAATACCCATAAAAAAAATAAAAAACACTAGAAACATGAAGGTGAAAACAGGGACAAATATGGTGGAATTCAAGTGATTCAAGAATTACAGGATGAGAAAGAGAAGCATGGGAGATGTGGGATTTTATAGGTGAGAATGAGGAGAATAGGAGGGTTACGAGATGTAAGTGTCATGTCAAATAAAACTAACAAGAGGTAACGTCGGGGAACTTACTGAAAACGAACTAAAAATTCGATGTCTGTATTACAAGTTTTAAAAGTCGGGTGACCAAAATGCACACGGCCTAAAAGTTCAAGGACTATTTATACACTTTACCCTAAAATTTATTGATGGGTTTATTTTAGTAGATATACAAAGATGGAATATAAAGAACGAAATAATAAAAACAAGTGTTGCTATTTATTATTTTTTTAATACGATACTTTAAGTGAAATAATTATAAAAATTAAAACGACAAAAATGACGAGACGGAGAGATTAATTTTTTATTCAGGTATTGTAAATATTTTCTTTGTCTAAATCGTTTATTTTATAGGTTAGGTTTACAATCAAATCGACGTCCAATAATTCCTCTATTCTTTTAGAGAAAAAAAAACTAATAATAATTCGACTTTTAATCATTTTTTTTTTGCAAAAATTCGCTATCCACGAAACAGGTTGGATTGCACGTGATGAATAACAACTCCCGGCCAAAACGATTTATATATAGGGCAAAATAATAAATATTCCCTCACTATAGGATACTATTTTATTAAGTCATTTGACTATTAAAATTTATAAAATAGTCTCTAACTATGGGGAATTGCTTTATTGAGTTTCTCAATTATTAAAAGTTACCAAATAGTCACTCTACTATTCATTATTTTCAAATTCTTCATTTTCCATTAAAAAATTAGCAATAATCTGATCTGGACGTTAATATTTTGATCGAGACATGATAGTCGTTTGAGATTATGAGATCAGATTTTATCATATCACAGTCAGTAGGCTAGCGTACAACTCAGACTACTGTCAAAATCTTAACGAAAAAATGAGTCTAGAACATAATGAACAGTCGGGCGACCATTTTGTAACATTTAATAGTCGAAGGACTAACAAAGCAACTATCTATAGTCGGAAGATCATTTTGTAACTTTTAATAGTCATTGAACTCGATAAAGTAGTATCTTATAGTCTGGGATCATTTATGTATTTTACCCTTATATTTATTTGAGTTTATTTTTTAATATCTAAATACTAAGGTTCATTAAATTCAGTTTCTGACTCATAAATGTCAAACCGATATTTGTTGTGAATGGAGAGGATTGTTGTTTTCAATGCAGAGACGTAGTAATTAGGGTTTGCTCTTGTTGTATTATTTGTTTGTCCAACCTTAATATTTTTCTATTATTTTATGATTATATTACACTTGTGGTCTAAAACTTATGTTTAATTTTCTTCATTTATGTTATCTTCAAAGTTTGAAATTTACTTTTTTTTTAAAACTTATAAAACTAAACATAAAATTTTATCAAAATTGGATTTGAGGATTTTCTCGTATTTGAAGTGTTTTGGATGTTCGTTGAAAATGTATACTATGAAAAGTATTATTTCGAAAAAATAAATAATATAACTCAAAATTAATCTTATCGAACATCTTTAGATCTTTATATGGATTTTTGTCTAATATGAATAAGTTTCGTGAAAATTATGGAAACTTAAAATCTTACAAAAGGAAAAGAGAGACGTATGGAAATGAGTCGAAAAAGTTCCAAATAGTCTGCAGGAACTGTCGTGGAGAAACTAGTGACCCATAAACCACGAGTGGCCGCCATTAACAACCCCGTCCCTTTACTTATCTTAATTTCGTCGTCGTCGTCTTCTCCTGTTTAAATATCCTCAAAAAACCTAGGAGTTCCATTGATCAGCTGATTCGGAACTCACCCTTTTGATTCAGTTTGCTCATCATTCAAACAAGGTTTAGCCATGGCAGAAAGAAAATGGATTCTTCTAGTTTCGTTAGCTTTCATCGTAGCTATGTCTTGTTCGTCTTCTCGGATCATGAAATCCTCTCAACTTCAGTACTCATACATGGGGTATGAATGAATCTTGGTGTATTTTTCGATGTTCGATAATCATATGAAGTCGAACTATGATGTGTTTTTTTTATTTTGATTTTTCAGGGAACTAACGAGCATGATTCTGGGCAAGCTTCGGTTCTGGGCAACGTTCAACAATGGCGTCGACGGCGACGGTGCAAAGAGTAGAGCTATTGGGCCGAACATGACGGCCTGCCACCACTCGTACGGCCGACCGGATCTTTTGGTTTACTGTTGCCCGCCGGGATTCGAGAAATCGGTACCCTTTGTCGAATTTGAGTTCCCCGATCATTTGTCGCCGGTAAGGGTGCGCCGTCCGGCGCACCTTTTGAACGAGAGCTTCATCGCCAAATACAATAAGGCTTTATCGATAATGAAGTCTCTGCCGTACGACGACCCTCGAAGTTTCACCCGTCAAGCTGAGTTACACTGCCAGTTCTGCACCGGCGCCTACGAGCAACTAAACCACTCCGACTCGCCGGTGAACATCCACCGTACATGGCTGTTCTTCCCCTGGCACCGCATGATGATATACTTCCACGAACGGATCCTCGGTAGCCTCATTGACGACGACTCGTTCACGTTGCCGTTTTGGGCTTGGGATATCCCCGAGGGAATGCCGGTACCGGATTATTACGTCAACAAGAACTTAGCTTTCTTCCATACGGAGCGCGATTTCTCGCATTTTCCACCGCGGGTGGCGGATTTAGATTACAGCACTGAAAACGATCCTCCCCGTGTGAGCAACGATGAACAAATTGATGTGAACTTGAAGTTTATGTATACTCAAATGGTCTCCGGCGCGAGAAAAACGGAGTTGTTCATGGGATGCGCATATAAAGCACACGATGGCTACTGTAATTCTCCGGGCACCGTCGAGAGTGCGCCACACAACACTTTGCACACGTGGATGGGAAGCGGCTTAAATCCCGGAAGAGAAGACATGGGCAAGTTTTACTCGGCGGCGAAAGACCCGATTTTCTACGCCCATCATTCGAACATCGATCGGCTCTGGGAAGTTTGGAGAGAAATTAATGATCGCCAATTAGATATAACCGATCCCGATTGGCTCGACTCTTTCTTCTTCTTCTACGACCAGAATTCAAAGTTAGTAAAGATTAAAGTTCGTGATGTTCTCGATATCACGAAACTGGGTTATTCTTACGAGGAAGTCGACCATCCATGGCTGAACCACCGTCCTTCACCGTCGGTTCCGCCAAAACAAGCTCGTCAGATGTTGAAACTCAAAGAAAACAAAAACCCAGTTTTTGTATCCGATTTCAGGCCCGACGGTCGAGTTTTGGACGGTATAATCACAGTGAAAGTTTCCCGGTCGATGAAAAGGGAGATCAAATCGGTGGAGGAAGAAGAGACCATTGTCGTGTACGGCATTGAAGTTAAAGGAAACGACTACGTGAAGTTCGATGTGTACGTAAACTTAAGCGACGAAACGAAAATGAACCCCAGGTTCAGGGAATTCGCCGGCACCTTTGCGCACATCCCCGGCGCCGCCATGAAGAAGAAGATAAAGCTTAAACTGGGAGTTTCGGACCTGTTGAAAGATTTGGAAGCCGATGAAGAAGAAAGCATATGGGTAACGTTGTCGCCGGTGACGGTAAGTTGTAGTAATGTATCCATTGAAGGGATACAAATTGAGTACACCAAATGAACTAAGGGTACCTAAAGTATCAATTTTAATTTATTTTAGTATCTAAATATTTAATTTTTTTAGAATCATATCAAAATCTTACAACACCTGACAATAACAGAACGCATTACAAAATATTAACAACCTAGTAAACAAAACAACCTTCCAAAAGAACCAAAAAATTTAACACTATATTTTCATCTAAATATTCAAAATGCAACAATCAAAATATTAATATTATTTCGTTCGACAAACCGTATCTCAATTCATCACCTTTACTATCATCAAGCTTTGAAAAGGAATTGATGTATCAATCAGGTTGGAGTCGGCATTTTAGTTCAAGGGGACAAAATATAATTAACAATTAAAAATGAGGGGTCAAAATCAAAATAAATTAAAATTTAAAGGCCTAAATAAGTAATTATCTCATTATTCTTAAATGATAAAAAAATTTGGGGGCAATGTCAAAATAAATTAATATTTGAAGGCCTAATAAATAATTGTCTTATTATTCTTTAATGATAAACAGCTGTATACCTCCGTACCTTGTCAGTTGTCATTGAGTTGTTATGTCAATCTTACATGATTGAGTGACACAATTTCTACAAAAAGTAAACGAATGAATATACATATATAAATATAAACGTGTTATATATATATATATATATATATGAATATAAACATGTTATAAAAAAGAGTTATTAAAAATTAAAGAAAAATAAATATACAATATATAATAAACTTAATATTCATTAGGGTTTTTTATTAACGAGACTCTAATCATTTAACAATAGATTATTAGATATTTCATAATTGTTAGTGTTCGAATTTAATATCTTTAAATATAATAATGATCTAATTAATCACTAAATAATTTGATTTCTACTAATAATAAAATATAAGTTATAATTGGTAATAGGTGGTGAAAGTCAAAGATGATTAATATGGATCAATTATAGTTAACGCTATTTAATAGACACGGTCAGTCAATACTTTTAATTTATACCAAAATAACTAATATTAATATTAAAATATTTTATCAATTTAATTTTTTTTATCGTAATATTTATATATAAAAAACATTTAACGTTTTGTTAATATATGTAACCTCGAACGTAAATTACATATTTTATATAAAAAATGATCGAATATAAAATTTATAACCGTTACTAAAAAATTTATAAACCTAATAAAATATCTAATCATATTTTTTTATAAATGATAATATATTAATATATATTTTACATAATGTGCGGTAGTTGGTAGCATGTGTGGTTAAGAATATATAATAGGGTAAGATATATGTGTGGTTATGATACACAAATGATAACCAATGTATGATAAAAATTTTATTTTTATTAAAGTTTTAAAAAGTAATAAATCAGTCTCTTACCGTTAACAAATATTACTGTGGATGATAAAAATTTGACCCGACATGTTAACTGTTGACTTGATATGTTTACCGTTTAACTTACCATTTGTTTAAAATTAAAATTAAAATATAATTTTAATTATTAATTTTAAACAAATCCTTATACTTTTAATAGTTATATAATAATAGTAAATTTGTTTGTGGTACGATTTGATACGTCGTTTTAGTGGTACACTGAAGTATGCGACATGCGCTGTAGACTTGTCTTATAGAACAATATCTTCGATTTGATTTTCTTGATTTTTTATTTAACTTGATATATATAATTTTAAGAATTACTCGCTTTCTAATTATTACTTTTTTTTTCTTTTTTATTATCCTATTTTTTTTAAAAGCTTGAATGAATGGGACACATTTTTATATAAATTTGTAATAATAATTTAAAAATAATATGTTGTGCTCAATCTCAATTTGATTTTGCTCTATCTCAATCTTCTTCAATTTATTTTTTTCTCAAATTAAGTAATGAAATATGTTAGGACACGTGTCATAACATGATCCGAGGATTAAATTTCTCAAATCAAATTAAAAATAAGATAAAATTGATAGAATATGCGAGTAATGAGGATCAAATATATAATTATATCAATTTTTTTAACTGTTACGTCAGTTCCTCCGTCAACTATTGACGACATGTGACTTGATTGACATCATTTAAATAATTAAGTTATTTTATTGATAAAATTTAAAAAATTATGATCATATTAAAATCTCCTATAATTGTGATTTTAAAGCGTTCATGATTTCGGGTGGAATTCCACATTTTAAATTATTAGTTTCTTAAATTATTTCACCATAGTATTCTAAATCGTTTCTTTTAACTTCAAAATGTTTAAAACATAATTATATTTATTTAATTTTATATTTAATAAATTTTATTTTTAATTATGTAATTTTAATTTTAGTTTTTATGAGTGAATTATGGCATTATGAACTTTTAAATTTAAAATTTTTCTATGTATTTTTTTCTTAAAAATTAATATAATTTTAAAAAATAAAATAAAGATATAAATCAGGTAACCGTGACTCGAAAATGCGGGTATCCAAGTTTTATGGGTACCTGATTTACGAGTGCCTGAACTTAATGGGTCGGGTACGGGTCAACATTTTAATACCCAAAATACGGGTACCCGATTTGAACACCCCTGGTTATATTATTAAATGTTTGAAAACAATTAGGTTAAATTATGGTTGAAACTAATTCCATAGCTAGATGGATTTGGGGATGAAATTTAAATATTCAAAAGTTTGGGAACTAATTTGAAAAAGTCATATTTAGGGATAAAATTAAAATGTTCAAAATTTTAAGGACTAATTTAAAATAAGAGTCATAGTTTAGGGATGAAATTATAATATTCAAAAGTTTATGGATAGAGTCATAGTTTAGGGACATATGATTTAATTAACTCTATTTTATTGATTTTTGGAGTAAAAACTCCACTAGTCCCTTAAAAATTCATAAAATATATGTTTTTTTAAACAATTATTCAAGAAGCATAAACCAAGTGGCATTCGTGATAAAAAAAATTGTTATTATTCATTGAGAACCCGAGTTCGAGCACCATGAATGTCAGAGATGTGAGAGTTCTATATTGAAAGGTTGAGAGTTATATTTAAACATACACTGTCAATTACTTACTCTAACTTAATAAAAATAATAATTATTCAATAAATATTATATACTATAATTTTTAAGTAATATTAGGAAAAAATGGCTATTTTGCGGGGACTTAATTACACCATATGATACTCGTGTTATTCCTTCACTTCACTGTCGCTGTTAGCTAATGTCTATATTAGGGTGACATTTAAAAAGAAAACTAGTTCTAAAGATAATTAATCAGTGAACAATGATTTTGTTTAATTAAGTCATTAATCTATTAAAATGATTTAATTAAATCGTTGACTATTATTTATTAACAGAAATATTAAGATGATAATTAAATAAATTAATATAATTATATATTTGATATTTATTATTTATATATTAAAAAGTAAAATTTTCATAAATGACAATTATCCCACCGGTGAACTTCGAAATCCTTGAATCAAATACAAGTTTTTGTTTAATGGTTAGTTGTGCTCATTTCCCCAAATTGCCTAAGTTTATGTTCATCCATTTCTCTTCTTATTTCTTTTATTTTCCTTCAATAAGATAATAACATATGATGATTAATAAATTTAATTTATTAAATATAATTAAAATCAAAATCAAAATCAAATTCGTATTGATAAAATATATAATTTTATAAACCTATTTAACTGTCATGTCAGCATTGTTTTTAATGGTTAACAATCAAATGTTTAAACTAAACTATTTTAATAGTTTAATGACCATATTGATAAAGTTTATAATTCAATGATAAAAATAACATTATCCCTGTAATTTAGTGGCTCAACAAGTAATTTATCCTAATGTTAAAAGGAAGTGTGAAACTACAAGATTGTGTCGCATCATCATCTACAAAATTAATTAAAGATTAAAAATAATAATTAATAATTAAAATTTAAATATTATAATGCTTATAAACGAACTAGAAAAATATATATAAAATGTACAACAAAATTATAATGTTGACATCTATATATTAAAAAAAAACTCTTTTATAATTTAATATTTTGCATAAAATTACAATGCTCCATTTGCTAATTGGCTCTGTTTTGAAAATCGGACCGGATCGGTCGGTTTAACCGGGAACCGTTGCTTAGTCTGATTCAATCTAAACCGGTTGAACCGCTATTAGTGAACCGTTGAACCGTTCGAACCGGACCGGCTAAAAACCGGAAAAAACCGAGAAAAACCGAGATTTTTGTTTAAAAAAAAAAAATTAAACCAAACAACGTCGTTTGTTAAACGAGCCAAGTCGAACTCGAGTATTGCTGAGCTCGACTCGAACTTTAAAACTTTAAAAGTAAGCTCAACTCAACTCAAACTCACAAGCTAAAAATTATCAAGCTCAACTCAAACTCGAAATATAATATTGAAACTTGAACTCAAAAAGGTTTGAACTCAAAAAAATAATTAGAAGCTCGATTGAAGCCTAAAATTCGAGTTTGATTGAAGTGAAAGAATAGTTCACTCAATGCTCACCAAAAGGCTCCATGATTTTGAATGCTAAATTACCTCTATTATTTATAGAAATTAGTTGTGATGCGCTTCTATGTTTCTTAACAATGTGAGATTGTTTTGTTATCATATTTTTACTCTTTAGACTTTTGGGATGCTCTTCTATGTTTCTTAGCCATGTGAGATTGTTTTTTAAAAAAATTAAACCAAACAATATCATTTTGTTATGATTTTTTTAACCCCAAATTTATTTTTTTAATTATAGTTATATAATTATATTTATTATTTAATATGTTTTACCTTAAATATTATGTTGTAGTTAATTTGAATCATTTTGTTTCACTTGATTTTATGATTTTTAATTTATATATGTTATGACTTGCTTTGAATATGACTTGTGATATAAAAAAATATTTTTTATTAAATATTTTTGGTATTTTTATTTAATTTTTTAAATAATTATGATGTCGTCCGGTTCTTCCGACCGATCAAACCGATTCGACCGGTTGAACCAATGAACCGGTAATATGACCGGTTCGCTAACCGGTCCGATTC